CTTGGTTGTTGACAGAAGGGAGGTTTTTATCGATTTTTTTGAAAATAGAAGGAGGTTTTTGCTATAATTAAATTATAGGGGAGGTTTTTGTATTTTACCCTAAATATATTACTTAAGTGATGTTTTTTTTTTTTGCTTTTTTCCATACAGTTTTTTGTCTACCTTAAGTTTTGTGCCATCATCAACAAGTAAGTCAAATTGATTTCTTTGATGGTAAATTTTATTTTTATTGATTACGAATGCCAAATACTACTATTTTTATATGTTTTTATACCATGTGAAGAAGACAAATTAAGGATGAAAGGAAGGCTAAGTTGATGGCCAAGACTCAAAATGTCCAAAGCATGGTGATGGTGAAGGGAAAAGATGATGTCTTTGTCAATCAAACTCTCATTTTTTTTTGTTTGTTGTTGCTATATCTAAAAGTATTGAATGCAATAGCCATTATTGTTTAGGTTGGTATTTCTTCAACAATACCAAGCATGTGAATTAAATTTTGAAGACTAATTTTTGTTTAAGCAAAGCAAAATTATTTAATCACCTAATTAACTAATTAAATGTAATAATTTAATTTATTATGCAATACTCAATTATCCATATGGTATATGGATGTGAGTCTCTTTTCTTTTCTTTTGTTAGGCACCAAGTAATTTTATTATAATTAGTAATTTACAAATTCATTAATAAAAAAGCAAAATTAAGTAACAAAACCTTAGCATATATTACATTAACAAAATTCACTTAATAATATTATAACAACTATAATGAAATATAATTTGGGTAAATTTAGATTACTTTTAATTATATTTTGAATAATTAATAAAATTTAACAAAGCTCATTTGACCAAAAAATAATACTTGGATTGGACTTGAACCAACACAACCTAATTGGAAATGTCACAAGGCTCTTTTGCTTCAATTTCTTTTAACAAAAACAATACTTAGATTGCTCTTTAGCTTCAATTTTAAACCCCTTCATCATCATATTGGGTAGCGGCTTTTTCCGTGCATCACATGGACCCTACTAGTAGTTCTATTAAAAGCTCTCGGGCCTAATAGGCTTCCAAGTTTCTTCCAAAATTTTTATTTCTTTCTTAATTTTCTTGTTTTTCAAGTGTAAAGAAATAGTCCAATTTGTTTTGGTAGTGAGAAATAGTACAATTGAACCACAATCAGAAACCCTTTAATTTATTAATTATAAATTTGCATCAAATTTAATTATTAATCGGATGCATCTAAATCTGAAATAATAAGAGGGACATTGAATCAGGTGTCAAGGTTTAGGTGCCCATTGACAGACAACCCCACCCTCACCCAACCCAAATATGGAAGCGGCTAATATCAATTCAATCCTGATTTCCATCTATATAGTCGTGACGGAGTCTACATCGTCTGTCAACAAAACACATTCCAACACCCTTCTAACATGATCTAATTAATGATTAGGCTGAGTCTGATGGTGAGATGAGTGGTGTCAGATCACGTTGGATGATTGTGGAAGAGTGTTGTAACATGTTTTGTTATCTAAACTAAGAATCAACAATTAACATCTTCTGTTGTAGGTCTTGGATTAGGGTTGAAAATGGATCGGATTGAATTTGCTAAAGGGTATATCTAATCCGGTTCAATAAGAATCCATCTAGGGATGGCAATTTAGATTTAGTGTTTTAAAGATGGGTTTTAGGAGATGGATTTTGAGATTCTGCAACCCGTATGAATACGGGTAGCATATATTATTAGGCTAAACCTGACCCTCCCCAACCCTCATATTGTTGGAAAGCATATAAATTTTATATACTAGGTGTTAAATTTAATAATATTTTGAATTGTATATGAAGGATAATTAATAGTTTGTGTTTTTTACATGTCTTAATAAAATTACTAGAAATTTCGTTATTTGTTTGTGTTATTTCCATATTTATTGCTGATATAATACAAGAAATAGTAGGAAATTAGATGTGGGTTTAAAAACCCAGCCCACCCCTACCCTTGAATGTAAGGAGGGTAGGGTTGTGAAGGGTTAGATTCTCAAAATCCAATCCACTATAAGTTTTGGGATTGGTATGGGTTGAGAGGTTTAGGGAAGAAGGTCGGGTCTAGAATATACAAAACCCTCCCTAAACCTACAATTGTTGTCATCCCTAAATCCATCCAATCCAAATATGATAAGAATTCATCAAATTTCCAAGATTATGATTCAAATTTGAATATCTTCTCAGATATCTGATTCGATTTGAATTGCAATAAAAACAATAAATAATATATTATTTATATAATATAATAATATATTATAGTATATATAATATTTCATAACTAATGGATCAGATCAGAGTATATTTGACTTCAATCCAATAACTAAATGGATTGGCTTTTCTCATTCCCTCAGATTTTTAGAATAAGTAAGTTATCCAAATCTGTTTCTTATCGGATTTCAAATACGACCTTATCTGACTTATTTGCATCCATAGCTTGAATAACGTTTTTTAACGGCAAATATATGCCTTACAACGCAATATCCCAACATTAAAGTAGACCATACGGAGAATGACCCATTCAATGCATTTGTAAGTGTAGTTGATGTGGATAAAAAAATAAATTACATACAACACTCCAAATGCACAACAATGCAAAAGAAATATCAAGCAGGATTTTAGACTTAAAAGTTGAAGTGAAATTCCTCATGAAACAGTCAATAGAAATGGCATCAAGTTGGCAAGTTGGCCTCCCTCGTGAATACGTAGCGTTAAAGGGATTGGAAGGTGCTAAAATGGGTTGACTCCTCAAAACCTCAGTTCCTAATACTTGAAAACCCAGGGGCTAAGCTACAACTCAAACAAAAGAGAAAAGAATCATGACCCTTAAAAAAACAGCCCCCTTCTCACAACCCCTAAAATATTAAGACTGCAACTTGGGCCGGGTTGGTTTGAACCCAACCCGAAATGGGTTGGATCAGGTTGATGTTCAGGTTAGGGTTAGGGTTGAAATTCATGAACCCGACTTTACTTCGGGTTGGGTTAAGGTTTACCCCTTAGCCAACCTGAACCCAACTCTATAGTACATGTCATATATAAATATATGTTATATATAATATATAACATTCATTGATTTGTTTAGATGCATGATATTTGTATAACCCCCACCACATAGTATTATGTATTTCTTTTAAGATAATTACTTCACTTAATCCTAATTAGAAAGACTAAAACCTTAACAACATTATTTTTAAGATTTTTTTTTTGAAAATTTTATTCTTCATTTCCTCTATATTGTTTGCCGCCCAAGAAAGATCAATCATAAGACATAACTCATAATAAACTATAGCCATTTCTAACACTTGTTTTTTTTAATTTTGTACCAAAGGCTGCGTTTGGGAACGATGCAATCAAGTGTGAATGCAAATATAGAGTGTAAAACGGTTCAAATAAATTGCAAGATTGGATTAATTTTGCATTGACAAATTTACCTTCTTGCCAAACAAACTTTTAGCTGTAATGGATGCAAATATGAATTCTAATAAAGCATATGTTTTTTTTTATCAAAAGCTTCTTTTTTATTGATGTACTTTTACATCTTATTATCAATGTAAATATGCATTGGTCTGTCATTTGTCAATGCATAAGCTTAATGTTGCCAAACACAGGCAAAAGTGAACTAGAGTGCAAATTTACCATAAACTGAGATTTACACTCCATTTGCATCATTTCCAAACGCAGCCAACATAACAAATAAAAAAGAAAAAAAAAGAAAAAAAAAACATCACTAATCAAATCCTAATGAAACATAGGATTAAAATATGTAGTGAAAATTGAGTTAATATCTAAATTCGAAAAATTCTATAAGATTTTAAGAGATGAAAAGAATGTTGAGTTGGGCCCAACCCAACCCGAAATTGACTTTGGGTTGGGTTAGGGTTGAAGAAATTTAGTTAAAGTTAGGGTTAGGGTTCGATTGGTGGTTTGAAGGTTGGGTTGGGTTAGGATTGGCCACAATGCAACCTAACCCATTCTGACTTGCAGCCCCTACTTGCAAATAATTCCTTAATAACAAAACTATAAAATGATCCAATAGACCAAAACCCAATAGATATAAATCTAAATTATAAATGACAAAAATTCAAAAAACATCAATTTGGGATCCTAGTATCCTACTACAACAAGAGAATACACTCACATTTTTTCTCTTCTTTTTTCTTTTTTTTTTTTTTGGCCTCACCAGTTACCCTCCCGAGTAGATTGACAACTCTTCTGCAAATTACTTGGCGGGATATTCACATTTCTTAAAAAAAAAACTAAAACTGTCCTGTCCAATCATGCTCAACAGCCTTTGATCATGTAACGTTGTGGTGTAATTTGGAGACCGGATCTGTTCCGTACTTAATTATAAGTTATTATTCACGGGAGATGTGTCTGTGAGGCACCCATGTATAAGGAGCAGATCCTGTTCTTGTAATGTGACTCAGTTGATAGGTTCTCTGACTTGTCGAAGTAGAGACCTAGGATCAAATCCCACTGCCACCAAGGGTTGGGGGATTAAGGGAAAGGGGATGGGCTACCCCTGTTGTGTAGCCCCATGAAGCAAAAAAAAAAAAAAAGATCCCGTTCCTGTAATTGGTTATATACACACCCTCCTAAGCATATAATCCGGGCTCGTAAACACAAATTGATATCTATTCCTCATATAGTGCGCCTCACACCAACCTCACAGCCACATCCCACTCTATACTGGGAACATCTTTCACCAATAATAAATTTGAACATCTCCCATTTAACGACGGGAGAACATGCTCGGAGGTCAGAACATGCTGTGAGGTCGATGTGTGAGGCGTGCATTGTGAGTAGCAGATCCGGACTCCGTTAACACATGCATGCCACGTGTGCCGTGTAGATATTAGGATGTGTCGGCCAACCACCTCCCTCAACTTTCATTAAATTACCAAAATTGCCATTACCCGCCATCCACAACTTCCATTTCAACGACTTCTGCGCTCATTAATTATTATTTTCCATTTCAACTCCCCCACCTCCACTAAACCCTCTCTCTCTCTCTCTCTCTCTCTCTCTCTCTACTGTGATCCAGAGGTAGGAAAGAGATGGATGGTCTGATAAAGGGCTTGATCGAAGTAGCCCTCGGCCAAGGCGACAACGACGACGAAACGAACTCTCAGTTTCGAGAAGAGCGATCCCGATCCACTTGGGCACAGGTGAGTACCACTTTTGTGCTATTTGCCTTTATTCTGTCTTTGTTCTGGGTGCTAAGAGAGTGTAAAGTTTACATACAGGTGGTGACGGGAGAGAACGATAAGGACGAAGAGAGCAGTTTGGATGCCAACGACTATAACCGGAACCGGTGGAACAGAAAGGTTAGTTTCGACTTTTAGTGAATTTTGATGAATGTATAAACACATCAACGATTTGGATAATGATTTTGCAGGAAGAAAGAGATGATAGCAACGAAGACAAATGGGAAAACGTTGAAGAGATGCCTTCTAGGCGACCCCAAAAGGTTATTTTTCTCTTCTTTACTTATCGATCTGAGATCTTCTCTTTTTCATTAGTGATTCAAGTGTTCTCAGTTACATCACACGACCTCAAAAATTAACATCCAATTTGCTTGAACTTGCCTAAAATAACCAAAATTAATGAGTAGTTATGAAATTTGAAAGTTGGGAGTCAACCGGTTGAGAATTGGATTTGAGTCAAACTTCTTTAATCTGCTGTAACCTCTTCTATCATAATTAAGCAAGTGCTTGGCTATATTGCAAATGCAGGTTGTTTACGAGGACCATCACATGTACAAAGAGGGTGATGAACATGGATACAGCCATAGCCCATGGAATAGAAAGGTTGATTTGATTTCACTTTGTTCATTTGTGATGACTTATCTAAAGCTATCCATGAAAATGTTGAGTATTTTGGATCATATTTTACAGACGGAGAATGAGGCTAACAATGATGGTTGGGAATCTGTCAATAAAAGGCCTCCAAAGCATCCTCATAAGGTCTTCTTCCTTTTGCTTATTATAATTCTATCTATCTAAGGTATAGTATAGTAAATGGTATAGTATAATGGAAAATATGAGTAAATGGTATAGTATAATGGAAATAGAATGTACATTGCAATCTCCTTAGAAATAACACAACCATGTCATCTAAAAACAAGAAAAAAAAATTAAAAAGAAAAAGAAAAAGAAACCACTGGATGTTATCATTAAAATATCCAAAGGATACCAATATCTAAATGGAGGTCCTCCATTTATAGAATTCTAATGAGGAGATAAGTTCTCTTATGACAGTTCTTAGATATCTAATTCATCATTTTAATTGTTGGGAAAGAGATCTTCCAGACATTATCTGAATTTAGCCTTCCCAACATTACAGAAAATTAATATAAAAATATAGGTTCTGTTTTGAAGTCATTTATGGCCCAAAGCCACAAAAATTCCCTGTAACAGCAAAAAGGAAAAGGAAGAAAAAAGAGTGGCATAGAAGACTTACTCATTTTAATTAATATTCATTGATGTCTTATGCAATAGATGGTTCTTTACATCACTATTTTGAGAGAAACTGAAAAGCTCATTCCTACATGGTCAAATATGAATGTTTTTAGTATATAGGGACTATTGCTCAGCGTAATGCTAAAATGACTAAAATCTCAGTTTGGTGAGTGTAAGAATGTGGGTTCGGGTCTGAAAGTGGCCACTTCATGCAAGAAAATGCCATAGGTCCTTATCCGGCCCACTGTTCCCAAGACCCTGGATGACCACGACTAACACCGGGCAATGGCCTAAATGTTTCAAGTATCTGTCCTATATAGTGCAGTTTAATGCAGTACTCCTATAAAGTAGCTTAGTTTGATTGAGAGTAGGATTTTTAGACTGAATGAGGATACTGCAAAAAATAATAAAAAAAAATATTAGCCTCGTACCATTTGTTAAGATGAAGAAAGTTGTATTCAAATGGGGTTCCTAGACCAGATTGACTCATAATATTGATACCAATAAGCCAACTAGCCTAGGAAGCAAATTTCAGTTACAAAAATATTAAAATCTATTCTAAATACACCATCCCTATTGAACCTTCCAAGTAACTTTAACTTGCTTCCAATTTTTTATGGTCACTATACTGGTCTGTTGTTCAATATAGGTTTCTAAGCTTTGAGCATTCGCAGTTAAATATAGACTTGGAATATGCATCAGTGGGAACAAGTTTTAGATGGTTCTGTTTATGTATCTCTCTTTCTCAAGCAGCAGTATTTCATCATAACATTGGCAGATAGCAAAGGATCAATGGCATGGATATAAAAAGCCTCCAACTGAGCAGATATACTCTGACGACATCAATTGTGGTGCTCGTCTACAACCTTCAGAAGAGGAGCTTGCTGACCTTTCACAAGCTTGCAACAAGCTATGGGAACTTGATTCAAATCGTTTGGTACCTGGAAAGGACTACCAGATTGACTGTGGTGAAGGAAAGAAAGCTTACCAAAAGGAAGATATGGCCCAAGGCAGCCTGTTTTACTGGCTAAGTGAGGATGTATTCAGGAAGCCCACTTATTCTCGTTTCTGTTCTCTTTTAGATAATTACAACCCAAATGAAGGGTGTAAAGAAGTTGTTACTTCTGAGGAGAGGCAGGAGCAGATTGCGTTCATCGAAGAGATCAGTAGAACTGCACCCATTAAATATCTTCACAAGTATCTTTCATCCAAAGGCATTCTGTCTGAGGATTATCAAGATTTTAAAAGAGTGTTGATAGGTCTCTGGTTTGAACTTTATGGCCGAGGTGGTACATCTAGTTGCTCCTCTGCTTTTGAACATGTTTTTGTTGGGGAAATCAAGCAACGTGGGGAACAAGAAGTTTCTGGCTTCCACAACTGGATTCAGGTCTGCATCTTGATGCTGTTTGTCGATATTTCATTCTTAAGTCCACCTTGATCTTACACCCAAGTATAGCCTGACAAGTGAAATCATTGGATAATGCTTACCTGTGACAATTAAATGCATGGGATTTTTTCCCACCATTTACCTACTCTCCTTCTTGAACTGTTCTTGTAGTTTACAATGTTGCATACAACCTGCATGCATTTTTGCCCATTTTCTGCATAAAATGTGTAGGTGTATCTCTTAAGAACTGTATTTTATGATATAACTTAAATATAAGACAGAAATATGAGTTAATGAATAAACAAAATAACAAAATGTTTTATTGTATCGTATTATCGTATTTATAATGTGAAATAAGCAGCTATTATTGTGCAAAGGTTTCTGAGCATCATTCTCCTTCATCAGAGTGCATTTATCATTTCTTTCAAAAAAAAGAGTGTATTTATCATTCTTAACTTTACAAGTTGCGAAAGGTAACATCTAAGGTTGGTACTAACAGACACATAGATTAAGGTTGGTGCCTCCAATAACTTTTAATCAATCTCATATTCAGAGATTGGGAACTACGATTGAAAGGGTCCAAGTCCAATCTCAGATTTCTATTGTTACTGCATTCATTTCAATGATGAAGCAAGAGGCATTAGAAGGACCAGGAAGTATACAAACTTTCATCATGAACTTAATGGAAGTAGTGTGAATAGTTAAAAATTGTCATTGTAATATTGTAATAAGGTCTACATGAGATATAGCACTGATGATGGGTGTAAGTGTAACCCTGTTAGGCCCATTAGGGGACTCTGGCAGATGTGTTCACCTCACAAGCAAGCAGAAGCTGGTATCGTGTGGTTGTGTTTGCCTATAGCTCCAGTATGCTACATGGAGAGTTGTTATGGCACATGGATATACATGAATTTGAACCCATGACCTCTTACATAGATGGTTCTGCAATCACCTAGAAAGTTAATTATAAGACTATATTACTGTTTTTTTTTATACCTTGATTTTAACAACATTTTACCTGGACTAAGACATTTTTCTTTGCTAATCCTTCACAGAATTATAGAAGTAACAAACTCTTCATTTTCATTTTGTAGTTTTACCTTGAAGAGGCAAAAGGAAGTGTTGATTATCAAGGTTATATTTTTCCCCGAAGATATGGACAAATTGTAAGTGATGTAACTATACATATCAACCCTCTTCATCATGGTTGGTACTTGGTGATAGGGATTTCAATTGCAATGATTCTTGACTGTATACCTTCTTTTTTCTTTTTTTTTTTTTTTTTGCATTTTTACTTTGGCTTGAACTCTAGAAACGTTTTTTTTTTTTCATTTTCTCATCTCATTTTGAAGTAAACAACAAAGTGAAAAGCAGACCAACACAAATGTTAGATCTAGAATTTGAGGGCGTGGATATCATGTTCATATAAGTGGACACACACACAGAACAAGACTAGAACATGTCTGTGTACAAACACTAAATGGATTGATGGAGATTCTGACAGCCTCTGATATATTATTCATGTCATGCTTCTGATCCCCTTAAAGACTTTGGGCCGCATCAACTTCTACCTGTGAAAAAGATTCATCATGTTCATTCTGATGGCATTAGTTTACAATTTTCTTTCACATTTGCTCCTTTTTCTTATGGTGGGGAGTGACCCACGCAGTTTTGTGTGATTTTTGGGAGGAGACATATGGAATAATTTTCAAGAAACCCTCTAGTGGCCCACTTATCCATGAAAGAGTTATTTTTCTGTAAGTTTCACAGGCTTTAGAAAAAATGAATATAGGGCACCAGTAGTGAAGAGATGCAAAAGAGTAATTAGGAGAGAAATACAATTTCTCTCCTAATTTGGCTTAAGTAATTAGAAGTCTCTTATTTTGTAGGGAGAGAAATAAAATTTAGGCATATAATGGTCCCAGTGAAGCAGAGCCTACTGTGTCTCAAGTCATGGCCTTTTAATTTCACTTTAAGATTGCCACTCAGTATGTCTAAAGGTCTGGCTCGTCTGGTAAAATATCCTGCTGGTTGTAGCAAAGACCTGGGTTTCTTTCATCCAAAATTTTCTTTTCTTTTTTCTTCTTTCTTTATATCTTTCTTTTTCTTTTTTATCTTTTGGTGGAAGGGGAGATTGGGGTTTGGGGGACAGGATACTTCCCTGGGTTGTGTATCCTGTTTGCCTAGGAAAAAGCATCATTCTCTTCTCTTTTAATATAAGGGGATTTTTCAATATATGTATAAGTTAGATTAGAATTCTTATGAATTTGTTTCCTATTTTGAAATGAATTCTAGAGAACTGAATTTCATTAGTTATGAGTTGATTAGGTAGGGTGTTAACAAGGAAAGCATGTGAACTGAGTCCTCATTGCTTGTGATAGACTCATGTTTTGGGTCTGATGTCCATCTTGTGCATCATCTTTTTGTGATTTCTTCAATAATATTAGTCATAAACTCGCTAGTGTTTATCAAGAAAAGACAGATGAATTGGCATAAAGAAGAAGGAAAGAATTGGGGGAAGAATTTGAGGTCAATGCTTCACAAACTCCTTTTTCTGATAAATGAATAAGTTATTAACTTTAAAGATTCAAGCTAGTACAAGCATCCCATGGAGAGACACGAGCTGTATGACCTCTCTCAATGAAGTGGTTAAAATACATAATACTAAAGATACAGGTTACAGCTGAGCCCAATACAATTGATCCTTATTTGCCCCTTTCTTGGATAGATAATTAGCCATTGCATTTTCCAATCTCCACCCATTGTATTCTCATGTTCATATTCATCGTTAGCCACTTGAATTTCTTGATTTCATTCCTATAGCACCAAATGACAGACTCCAGATTCTTCAACAAGACAACCACCCTACCACCACCTTAGAATCTCCTTCAATCAATAAATTCTCCAAACTTAGCTGATTTTCAATCTGGATTCCTTGTATTGCAGCTAGCAATTCAGCCCTAATAGAATCTCCTACTCCCACCAGACCTGAAAATATAATCCTAAAAAATTACTCTCCTTGCTTCTCTAGACCTGTCCTATTCCTGACAATCCTGGATTACCTTGACTGATCCCATCAAAGTTCAGCTTCAAATATCATTCAAGAGAATGGTCAATACTAAGTTCATTTTATCCTTTTTGGAAGTGATACTTTCCACTACAGACCAGTTCCTCCAAATATCAAGTGAAAATTGGTGGAAAGAGTCCATGCTTTTTAACCAACGTATTGCCTACACACCTCTTGATTCCTTGTCTGCTTTTCTCCTCTTAGAATATTCTTTGATTCCTTTCTTCTTAAATGGTTCAAACCAATGTTGCTCTTGTACACCTCCACATAATTCCTCCTCTTTTTTTTGGGCTAGATGAAAATAGAAGGATCAATTAGCATGCTTTACACATACATTTATTAATAGGAGATTAATAACAAAAATTACAAGGTTTCCCTTGGTAGATTTAAGTGCTACAAGGGGCTATAATAATACAAGGCCACTGCTGGTTTGCTTTTTGGTGTACCTTCTGAAAGTTTTGACAGCATCCTAGAAACTATACATTTCACTTTGTACCTCCATAACAGTCAAATAATAGGCTTTTCTTATGACTGGTGGTAATATATGAAGAGAAAAGGACAATAAAAAATTTCCAAAATATTCAATATTACACTAATCAGCATGCAAGCACTTCCTGCACCTTCACAAATATGCTATGGATCAAAATTCAGACAACTCTTCCAAAGACAGTCTATGATGATCGAGTCCAGGAACATTAACTGATATTTCTTCTATTTTCTCAGGGAAATTTTCTTGAAAACTGATATGTATGTAGTCTTTGAAAACCTTAAGGCATGGTGATGTCAAATCTGTTCTTCGAAAGGTTTGAAGAAATAGAAAAACATCAACGGTCCAATAGTTGTACCCAATAACCTGCTCTAATGCCAAGTTGTGAACTTGTAAGGGTTTATGAAGAGAAAAGATATGAATAGGCATGAAATAAAAAAAGGAAGAAAGAACTGGGAAAGAGTATGAGATCCACACCTCACACAGACCTTTTATTAATGAGCAACTAATAATAACAGAAATTAGAAAGTTGACCTTGATAGGCTTAAGTGCTACAAGGGGATATAGTAATAAGATAAAGCATATGTAATATACACTAATTCTAGCAATATCAATACACTTTCTTTTATCCAAAATGAGATTACCAAAGGTTGGTGATAACCTATATATCCTACTGTTCTAAATAATAGGATCTCAAGTTTGGTCTGATTGTATCCGTTTGAGAGACATGTCAAATTATTGTGGCACTGCTAAGAAACTATATATCCTTGTGGGGAATTATTTTAAGGATTGACATAATGTGGATAGATCAATCTACACATTTTAGTCTTAACATCATTAACAACAACTTTCTTTTCTTCCAAATATGATATTTCTCCATGTGGACTGATATAATTTATTTCAGTTTCTCATACCATGTGTAGACAGGTTCAACATCCAAAAAGATTAATCAATTTTAATGGTTAACATTACTAAATTACTTTAGAAGTAGATCGCCAATCAAAATAAATGCCTACACATAAGTTACTCTACCAGAGACCTTTTTCCATAAAACCCACAAGAGACTTAAGTTTTTTTACCTTTAATTCCAAAAGGAGCCAATTTGGGGAATGTGGGGATAATATAAAAAAAAATGAGGTTATTTTAGGATTTGGAAAAAAAGAATGCCAGAAAAGATTAAAATGAAATGAGTTCAATCCATGCAGCTCCTAGCCCCTTGAAGATTCATAAAATATCCTTTTAATGTAGAAAAAAAGTCAATAAATTCATTGGCTTTCATCATCAAATAGGGTATATTTTCACCTAGAATATGCCATTGGTGTATTTTCACCTACAATATGCCATAGGTGGATAACATATAACAAGTCAAGATTCCACCTCCCCCCACTCCCATCATCTGCACAAACATCTACTTGTATATGGTTGGTGGGCTCTACTGCAGATATCTTAAGCTTTCCTTTCCAATTTTGGCTAGCATCCAATTTCTAGAAAATTAGGGAAAGAGATCTTTATTTAATAATTGTTGACTTTGTAGTCAATTACAATGAACCCCATCATGGGTTTCTATGGACTCTTAATTCTATCAATGACAGAAACCCACTATGAAAAAAATCTAATTAGAGTCCTCAGAAAATTACTAAACCTAAACCAAGAGGAAATCAAAACTCTCTCTTATTTTCTCTTAGTTTCCTATTATGATCTGAATTGTGCTCAATTCCACTCTCTGTCAGACTGAGAATATATTTTTGTTTGTAACATATTAAGGTTAAAATTATGTGTCTGTATTAAAAGTGCAAGCACAGATTTATAACTTTCCTTGTACGAACACTTGCAGCCAGATTCTGACACCCAGCTACTTACAATTCAGTTTGAGTGGAACGGAGTTCTCAAGTCTGTCTCAAGCAGTCTGGTTGGAGTTAGCCCAGAGTTTGAAATTGCCCTGTATACCCTCTGTTTCTATGCAGGTGGAGAGGATAACCACGTTCAGTTGGGCCCTTATCCTGTTAATATCAAATGCTATCGCCATGGAAATGACAAAATTGGATCTGTGTTTCCAATAGCTGAATGTTGAACATCTTTAAGTGTTCCACTCTCAGTTCTATTTTATGTTCTTCTTAATAAAAAGATTACTAGAATATATAATAAATTAAAGACTACTTATTGTCTTGGGCCTGTACAATAAGTATACGATTCGATGGTATTTAGGATGTAACCACTTTTTTTGAATTAATGAAGACTATAGATACTTATTATAAATGATAAAAGTTTTGGTTAAACTGTACATTGTATTTCACAATCCTCCTAGGTTATTCTGCTGGTTTCCTATGAAGCACTGCTGCTTATTGTGGTGGTAAGTCTTACCAAATAGGTATAGATCATGTTATACATATTTGATATTGATCATGCTTTACCAAATAGGCAATGCTGCTAGGTTAAAATAGATTATATGGTGGGTTAGGACCATTCCCACGTGGTGTAGTAATCATAGCAAGAGTCTAACTGCTACACAGTGATTACAGAAACTCAAGTAAGATGGAATTTTCAGCTTAGATCAAAAAAATGTTAAGATGAAATTGGCAGTTATATTGCCCAAAATGAAACATCAGTAAACCTACTAATCTTTTCTGGTTGAGAACCCCACCTATTTCAGAAACTTCATCTCACCAAGCATTTTGGGGGTTGTTAAGTTGCAGCAGTTCTTGAGAATGGGATATTGTTGACATTAAACAAAGAAATGGAGCAACTCTGGCACTTACCAGGTTGATCTCCCAGGAGCCTAACGTTACCGTGTAGTTGATGAGGTACCAGGAAACACGTAAATAAAGGAAAATTTGATTTTAGACTGTTTCAATTAACCAATGTGGTAATGGAACTGATACTTAATATAGTAGTCATTGGTTTGCAAATGTTAATTCCCTAACAAGTTCCTTGGAAGACAGACCACTGTTATTGGCTCTTGCAGGTTTGAGCCGGACTTTCCAGGGTTGTTGACTCTTGCGTCGTGAGAAGCCACCTCCCAAACGGGTACTTATATTTGGCTTGACATTTCCATATGGGTTCAAAAACCGAAACCGGTACTCACCGATACGTTGTGATATTTAAAACTTTTGCATAAAACCAGGTAAGGGTCTCACTCTCAGATATGTTCATATAGGTAGGTCATGCAGGTGGGGTGTTGATCTTCCACAACGGTAAGTCAATTGGGTAAGTTTGAACAGAGGAAATATGAAAAGGACCAGCGGAAAGGATGATACAGAAGCATCAATTGAGATTCCTGCATCGATGGTTGCCCCTTTCGGGGACATTAATGAGAAAGGGAAATGATAAAAATCTATCATGGACAGTTCCAAGATATTTTCAGTATGGGACACGTTGAGTTCTATGAATCATAATTGTGTCTGCATTAGAATGGCTGCTCATTCCCATTATCCATTGAATCCACAAATTCTATCACACATTTTCGCTTCCACTCCACAAACCAAATACAGCCTTAGATTTGTCTGCGTCGTCAATAAGGTGGAAGAAGAACAAAACCAATGAAAAAAATTAACTTCTACACAGGAGTCTGGAGACATAGCATTCATGTTTGATCATTGGAATTTTTTTGTGTGTCCTTCTTCCCCTTGATGCATGCGAGATCGGCTTCTGTCAAGGCAAACCCATGTTCACATCGTTCCCACAGCCTTTTGCAACCTTGCATTGGAAAAATTTTCCCATGAAATAAAACACACAAGTACGGAAACATTTTCAATGCAAGGCAATAAAGGTTGTTTGAACGGGCTTTGCGCTGATTAAAGCCAAACTCAATGCATGCACTATATTACAAATTTTTACTTACAGCTTTAGTTTTGAAAACTTTAGAGAGAGAGAGAGAGATTGTAAATTAGACTAAAAAATTAATGAATACTACTAGTAAACGAGTCTGCTAGAAACTTGAGGAATGATAGTAAAAAACAAGTTTTTGCAACTATTGCTGTCAAATATGAAGCCAAGGGCAACAAGAGAATTTTGCCGGTGTCCAAGGCCGACGGGTCCGACTTGTAAATAAGAGAAGAGTACACATAACCAGGTGTTATCCTAGGGGTAGAGACTCCGGTGGTCAAGTTAGTCGAGTGCTTAAGAGGGGTCGGACTAGGCTAGAAATGAGAGCTCAAAGCTTAGTCCTTAATAACCAAGAGTGACTGTCTTGGGATTCTGAATTCAAGAGAGTATCTTTACCTTGAGATGAGCACCCCCTTTTATAGATGATCTTGCCTTTGAGTGGTTGGAAGCATTTGTTGATGTGTGGCTAGGATTTAATCTGGACGATTCAATGTGGCGTGATTCGAGGCCACCAAGTATCCCTACATCACTTGCCCCCCACTCTTGAGGCCATAGTAGTCGAGGTCGAATGGTGTGTTAAGTGGAGACCTCGGCTTGGGCCGAAGAGAGTACCATGTAGTTGTGTGGAGGCGTCAGATAGCATGTTGAGCGGAGATCTCGACTTCGACCGAAGAGAGTACCATGTAGTTGTGTGGAGGCATTGTGTGGCAACTGCTTTCCTGTTCGCTCCCCGCCTTAGTGGAGGATCGTGATGGACCAAGAACGTGTGGTCGTGGTCGGCATGAGTGTGGGATGTCCATGTTCATCGGTCGTGCCCCATACGGGTGTCAATGTCATTCGGTGCAAGTTCGTATGCGAAACGGGTGTTGGTGCTGACTAGTCGCGGAAATGCGCAAAACGGTGGGGAGGGGTCTCCGATTTGGGTCGCTCTTGACCCGAAGCTGATAGGCGAACCGGTTCATTCCTTCGGCATCATTTCATCTTCCCAAGGTCGATGCCATGTGTAGCTGGTTGGTTCGAGCTATCAGATCAGCTAGTCTGCAACCGTTGGATCAAAGAGATCTGAGTCATACGTTTTCCTTTAAATAGGGACGCTAGTCGAGCGAGTCTTCACCATTCACTCGATCCTTGAGTCTTTGCTTGTGATCTCAGAGACCTCGGCTACCAATTAGTCGATTCCTTAAGCATTCTTCTCTCACATAGAACTAGGTAAAGGACTCTTGTCTTCAACATGTCGGCCTCAAACTCTGGACATGAGTGCTATGAACTTCCTGATTGGAGTGACCCTAACAACTCCTCTTCCACCTCGACCAGTAGTGGGAGCGACAGTAGTGACTTCGAGAGCTCCTCTTGAGCATCTAGTGTTCGGGTATTGAGGGAGAGGACCATCCTTCGGGGAGCCGAGCGCGACCAGCAAGACATAAACCCTCCCAAGGAAAGTACTGGTTTCACAAGGCTGAGGGCCAACGCCATAGGGAATGCCCTTGTGCTTCCTGATGTGGTGGAGCTAGAGAAGGCTGAAGAGCCTACACTCGAGGAGCGAACTGAGGCCGAACCCTGAGGTGTGACGCCGATGCGTTATCCCCGCTCCGACTTTGATAGTGAGCTCGATAAAGAGCAAGTGAGGGTTCTATCCGAGATGTACCATATCCTAGGGGGCTATAGGGTTAGAGTCCACTGCGTAGGTGACCAGTTGTGGCAGCTCGCCGAGGGGGAGGTGTATGTGCATGAGCACTACCTCCACTTCAACCTTCGTTTTCCCTTGCCTCCTCTCATCCCTGAAATCCTCAACTATTACAACATTTCCCTCAGTCAGCTTGTTTCGAGCACTGTTAGGACCATAGTGGTTGTGTTGGTGATGGCTCGCCTCCGAGGTGTGTTCGTGACCCTGAAAGTCTTCCAAGGCTGACAGGGTAGGGTAGTGGACAACCCGTCGTCCATCCACAATTAGAAGAAGTTTTTCTTCGTTCACTGTCGATAGGGATAGTCCTTCCGGTCTAATTGGGGGACGTCGAACTCATTGGCTAAGAGGATCAGACTGTACAACAGTGAGGAGGATTCGACCATGATGAATCGGATTCGGCTGACTGGAATGATTCACGTCGGGCTCTTAATAACAGAGGAAGCCTTGGTGTGGGCTGGCCTCAACCCTACCCCCCTTGGTATGGGCACTCTTGCTATCGGCTGGTTGTGTCATTTGCTTAACCTTCATTGTCTTTCTTCTAATGTTGATTATCTTTCTTGATTGTAGCAATGAATGACAGCTTGAAGGAGAGGCTCTTGTATGTAGCAATAGCCAAGTCTACGAAGGGTCCAGTCGAGGGGCCTTCGAGGAGGCTGAGTGAGAATGAGAAGGAACCATCTCGAGCAAAGGGAACTATTGAGGCCGAGAAGAGGAAGGCGGCCACACCCAAGCAGCCGACCGATGCCCCTCAAGATCTGAGAGCGAAGAAGGTGGTGGTGAGGGACCACCGAGCCGAGGGGGCTATAGGAGGATATCGACAGTTGGGGCCCCATTATTCAAAGCCGCGAGATGATATCCCGCTAGCGATGCGTCAGGTGTTATGCCCAAACTAGAATGTGAGGAAGGGCAACTCGCTGAGCAATGTAGGTGTCGGCCGCGACCTGATCACCGACATGCTTCCTACTGGGGATTAATACTTGCGAACCCAGGTCTCCCTCCAGTCTATTCGGGACACAGTGCTCAACAAGTTGACCAAAGTAAGGCTGAATTTTCACTTACTTTGTGCTAGTCCTCTGTTACTTGGAAGTTTTCAACTAGCATAGATTCCTTGTGTCTTTAGACGTCTTTCTACGTTGTCGGCCTTTACGACAAGATGGAGGTAATGCTATAGCAGCTCCGAACGTTGTAGGAGGAGAAGAAGTAGTTGAAGTGCCAGTTGGCCAAGGAGCGGCCCAACTGAGAGGCCGCTGCCAAGACGGCTCATGGGGAGCACGAGCGTTGTAAGAAGCTCAAGGCTGAGGTGGCGACCAAAAGGGAGCAACTGAGGGCTGCCAAGGCCTCATTGGACGAGGCAGAACAAAAGCTTCTAGAAGTGTCCACCCAAGCCATGGAGGAGCACAAGGCCTCCGAGGCCCACAAGGAGAAGCTGGCTGAGTTTGGCACCTCTTCTTACTTGGAGGGGGTTGAAGACACTCGGTCTCAAGTACTAGCATTCTTCCAGGACTTTGATGTCAGCCAGCTAGGCCCTCATCTTCCGAGCTAGCAGGCGGTCGATGTGGTGGGGCCAGCCAAGGGATAGGGTAGCCTACGCAGCAAGAGGCGGCCGACGAGCATGTTGACATTGAGGCTGAGTGAAGATGCTCGCGTAGGGCCAAGGCTCCTTTTGGGATATCTCTTTTGCTTTGCTTCTTTCCTTCTTGTTTTGGCATAATTTTTTGTAAGGGGCTCAACCTCCCCCATCAGAGGGCTCTTTTTGTAAAGATTGAGTAAATATT